TAGCTGATGCTTTCCTTCCCAGGCCAAGGAAGCTATTTAGCATAAAAACTTTTTCCACTCTAATGGATATAGAGAAGGTTTGTTCCTTGTCAGGGCTCACAGACATGAACTCCTTTCACAAATTGGCTGTTGATGCCACAACTGAGTGGGCTGAGAGCACCAAAATTCAGCTCCCTGTGGGCTTTGGAGAAAGGGACTCCTTCCCAAAGCAGTATGTGTGAGAAATAACTCACCCTTTATGGATGGCATTAGGACTTTGTTATCCCCATTTAAAACTTCAGAACAAGTACGAATTCAGTTGTGACAAATGAAATATGGCTGATAGCTTAAAAAGGAACAAGGGGAAGACTGTAGGGAAGATGTTGCTGAAGAAGGTGCTTGAATAATGAGTTAATTTTATTAGCAGCCTGGTCACAGCAGTGAACAGCGGTTGTTTCACAGACCCCCTGGGGTCCCTGTCAAGGTGTAGAGGAGCAGAGCCAGGGCCTCGCGTAGTCTGGGAGTTCTTACCTGCCCTCCTCTGTACGCCAGGATGGCTCTTGTCAGGTCTCGGAGTGTGTGCAGCTCCATCTGCGCTTCTCCTTTGTGCCTATGACCTCGCTGGTTCCTTCTGCCATGTCCCTTTTTCCATGAAGGCTCAGCGAGGTCCTCGGAGTACAAAACTAGCGCGCCCTTCCTTGTGCTGTAGGTTTTGGGGAGACACACACTCGAGCAGCCCTTGGCAGTGTGCTTTGCATTTGAAGTCTTGCTAACATAAAAGTAATTTTCATGAGCCTTCCAGTTCAGATAGTCCTAGAACAGGGGAAAGAAGTAATGTAGGGTAGACTTAGAGAGGAAAAGAGAGCAAAACTTTGCATCAATCAGAGTTTGGCTATTTGTGGCTTGTTAACTACCCAGGAAATTATTATTTGCTTACATGCTTTCCCCATTGTGGCTTTATCTGCTGTCATCAGCCAGTACATCAAATGAAGCTGTGCTTGTCCCCAGGAGTTACTGTGCTGCCCAGCTGTGACCCGAGCTGCAGCTCTCTCCAGTACCTCCTTCAGGGCATGCTGTGATGTTGGAGTTCAGGCTGTGCATTAATGACCAGGATTTTGCCTAGTTTCACCTGGCAACGCACTGTGTGACTTCAATGGGGACTTGAACTGGCATCTCCTAGATTGCAAGAGGATTTATGGGCGAGGTCCAGACAAGTCCAAGCCTGGATGAAGATACAGGAGGCATTTGCAGGTGCCTGGGGCAGTGACCATGACCAGACCAGAGCCATCTTCCTTTTTAATTAGCAAATTAACAGATCTGAAATGTAAAAGTGCAGGGAGCAAGTGTCTTAGCAGTGAAAAACAGTTGTAGCTCACTGGCGGTTTCACATTTTTTCCCTTGCCTTTTCTCTTTGTATAATTGATCTCTTTGGACAGGGCCTGCTTCGCCTTTCTGGGAGTGCACAGCATTGAGAAGTGGCCCTGGCTCTGTAATTTTCATTTGCAGTAATTGCTCTGATAATAACGCTTAGCAAGGCAAACGTGAGTGCTTCGTATGGGCTGTGCAGTAAAGACTTAAAGCTCTTCTCAATTCATATGACTACTGCCTAAAGTTGGCACATTTATCCAGTGCTCACCTAGTCCCACTGACCTTGGTAGAGCTGCAGGGATATAGAGAGGAGAAAAGTTTGAGCAAAACTTGAGCTGCATCCTGCAACCTTTAATTTTTCTATTTTGGGGGGTTACTAGGATCAAAATACAATATGTGCTCTTTCAGAAATAATTCTTGAGCTCCACTGAGTCACGAAAAATTAGTTTTAGGGTTGTTGTGCAGAATAGTGCTGGTATAAACTCTCGGGGAAATATTCAGTCTTTGGTGTGACTCCACCGTAGTCCTTTTTCATTGCAAAACTGCCATGTCTCTTAAATTCTTAGCTGATGTGAAGCTGTGCTATCCAAACAACATAAATGAAAACTGTAAATCAATCTAACAGATGAAGGCTCCAGACAACCATGCATAACTCCTAGAACTAACATATTTACCTATTCATCTGACATTTAGCAACACAGAGACAATGTGATTTTTCTTTTTTCTTTTTTTTTTTGTGGTTTTGCTTTCTGTTCTGTTAAGATTCTCCAGTTTTCATTACAACAGGCACATTTGCCTTTTGGGTTATTAAGACACTTCTAGTTCTTCCTACAAATAAGATACTGGAAAATAACTTGACATTAAAATAATTATTTGAGAATTAGTTAACATTCCAGAATGGAAAATATCAATCACTAAAAGACACTACAGTGCAATTTCTCATAGTGCAGGTAGGGACTCACCTCGGGTTCGTAATGCACCTGCAGCTTCCCGGGTGCCATGTTCACTGTCTGCCCAATGCCACAGCTTAGCAGGGAGAGATGAGGCATTTTCCCTGAGCCCCAGGCCCCTCAGTGGGGTTTAATCTTGGCCTTAAAACTGTGAGGTTGCTGTCAGAGCCTTCATCCAGACTCTGTTAGCAATACACTGCTTCATAGCCCTGTGCCTTGTTAACATGAAGCTGCAAACGGCAGCCACAAGTCTTAGGCTCTAAACAGTGAGGAGAAGATGCAGTGGAGCTGGCTCCTTTTTTTCTCCCATTCTGAGCACTTGTTCTCTCTGTTCTGGTTGCTCTGCAGCACCTCAGGATCTGCGAACCACCCCCAGTCTCCTGCCTGTGGCCGAGGGTTGTTTCTCTGTTGCTATGGTGGCAAAGGGAAATTAAGTTCCTTAAAGCAGGCAGAAAGAGCCAGTGAGTGCAGGCAGGCATGGAAAGAGTCCAAGGGCCAGGGCTGGATTTTAAGGGTGGGCTGCACTGCCGTAAATACCCCTAGCTGACAGCATGACATTATTCTCCCCGAGCTGCTTTATTGTGTTTTCTTTAAGGAGCCCCCCTCCCAATGCTATTATTTATTAGCTGAGAATGGAGAGAGGAATGAGAGATCTCAGAGGCCCCTTTGGCGAATGCTTTTGTGGAACACGCGTCCTCTGTGTGTGCCTGGGTCCTCAGGTAACTCTGGTGTCTTTGTGGTGCTCCACCTTTCTCTTGCGGAGACCTCATGGGACTGCAACAGCAGGTCCCCCTTCCTGCGCGCGCACAGAGGAGGGCGAGAGGCTCTGTGCCCCTCAGTCCTGTCCCTGGCTCCTGTGACGTGTCCTCTAGGCCCACGCCAGCACCGGGACAGCAGGCCGTGCTCAGGTGCCCACCTCCCCTCTGCATTCACGGATGCAGTTCTCCCCCCTTCCTGGCCTTCGTTCAGAGACTCAGGTTGCTCTTTACTTTGCTCACTAAGCCACTCGCCTTGAGAATTGCTGGTAGGAGCAAGACGGGCAGGGGCTCCAACGTGCTCCACTTTCCGAGGTGGGATGCACACACGCTGCGCGTGCTCCTGCCCATGAAACCCCCTGCTCTGTCAGCTGCATTTCAGCATCACTCTCTGTAAGTGCCCCCTGCTGCCACGTACAATGATTTACAGCACGCTTCAGCGTCGCAACTTTTAACTTCATTTTACACAGTGTCTTTCACTCTGCATGTGCTCAAAGTGCTTAGCAATATACAAACAGCAATAGAAAATGTACAAAACAAGTATGTCTTCAAATGGAGGAGCTGCTTTTTTCAACTGGCAGAAGTGACACTTTCCATAACAGAACAGCAGTAGAAATGAGTCAGTACTGGCAGAGCAATTCTGAATTCTCCCTGGTGTAGGATAATTTTCTTCCAAGATGTAGAAATGTTTGTACTTCATGACTTTGTTATGAATTGAACGAACATAAATTAAGAAAATAGAGATTTGAGTGTGAATATCAATCTAAATTCACTTCCAAAGCTTGTGATTGATTCTCTGCTCTACATTTCTGTAGCTACTTCTCTTCAAGGATGTGCCACACAGTTTTTAAGCAGTGCTTAATTACATTTCCCTAGTGTTGTGGAAAGGGACTGTAGCAACTGCCAGTTGTCCATCACTTTTTGTGACAGGTTTTATTGCTAAGTGCTGACTGCTAATTTAGTTTTAAGGAGGATATATATTTTATAATTAAAAATCCAGTTCTCTGTGTGCAACACCAGACCTAGTTAAAGTGTCATTAGAATATGCATATAAATTCAGAATAATGGGGCAATAAAGTAGGTTCTCCAAATCCATTGCTCTGTGGCTTTGGGACAGCTATGGAAAATGTGTGTTTTCCATGAGTAACAAAGCGTATGTCATAGAGACAGGTTTCTCTGTGTAATGGGAGGTTTGCTTGGCAAAAAGAACAGGTAACTTGTAGGACAGGAAGATGGTCTGAGTGCAGGCGGGTTGGAGAACAAAGGAGGGATCAACCTGAGCAAGGAGAACAGGAGCAGCGTCTGAGGAAGGAAACGGAGAATTCAGTGTCAGTGCCAAGGAGCTCCAGCAAGGCCATGCCAGGGGTGCCGGGAGGGAAGTGCTGGGGCAGGAGGGACAAAGTTGCTGAGGCCCGAGGTGGGGCTGGGCTCCTTGCAGGCATCAGGACTTGGGCTTGAGCAGGAGAGAAGAAGCCTGCAGACTTTGGGGACAGAGCCCGGTTGCCTGGGGCACCACCAGCTCCCTCCAGTTCGGGAACACTTTTGTACCATGCACATAGAAAGGGGGGAAATACATTTGGGAAAGGCAGTGTTACTTCCTGCATTTTGTATTTCTTGAAGGCTTCCGTTTGTGTTTAATGGAGTTCCTGGGACCCCGCAGGGTGGCTGTAAGGGCAAAGAACATGCACGCTTTGGGGTGCTTACCTTGGGCGATGGGTAACTAGTGCTAAATAATGCTCCAGCAGCCTAACTTCAGCGCGGTGCAGGGGCAGGATTCGTGGCCTCTGGAGCAGCGGCGTCCTGCGCTGCGCCTCCGTTTGCTCCAGCAGGAGCAGGAGGTCCCTGCTGGGCTGCGCGTGCGGCAATTTCTCTGTGTTTAGTCGGGAAGCGACACTTTCATGCGTGGATCCCGCCAGGACGCCGTCCCCTGCGCTGCTGCAGGATCTAGTTGCGTGTGTGTGTGTGTTTTTAAGCTCAAAATACAAAGCACAGACACTGACTGGTTTTGATCATTGCGATTTGTATGGAAGTGGTTAGAAAATGGGGCTGTCAACCCTCGTGCACTGCCAAAGTTGTACTGAGATGACTCTGCTTTAGAAATCCCTTCCAGTTCTTCCACTTGCTGCTAACACAGGCTGAGCTTCAGGGTTGTTTCTGCCTGTTTTACAAGGGTTGTGCAAGGGCTGCTGTGCCCTGCCCAAGAGGGGGTTCTGCAGTGGGAAATGCTGCAGTTCACCTAGCGAGTCCCTGTGCAGATTAAACCCAGAAGTTAAAACTGAACATACTGGGGGGCTAGTCACTGCCCCACGAGGACCAGCTCAGCTCCCCAGAGCTCCTGTGACTGCTCAAGATGGAGCAGGCAGGCTGTTGCCTTCAGAAAAAGTTTTACTTGCAGCCCCTTGTTAGTTTAATTTTAGTTCCTCTGCGTTGACATATGGCAGGCATGGCTCTTAATTAGAGTTTAGCTGTGTTTTACTGGTGGGGCTGCAGAGCACTATGGAATTTGCATTAAGAAAAGACTGTGTGGTTGGCAGAGTCCAAGGCTGTTTAGTAATCAGAGTGGAAAGTTAACTTTGAAACAAACTGGCAACTGATCAGATAAAATTCAAATCGGTAACACTTGTGTTGGAAAGCAGCTCCGAGCTCGGGAAGATGGAATCCGAGCTATTCCGAGCTGCCTGGGAACACAGTGTGCGCATGGAGCTGCGTGCGGAGCACCCCTTGCACCACCAAAATTAATTGTAGATGGGATTATCTGGGCACTGCTCTGATTCCTTTCTACACGAGTGTAGAATTATTACCTTGAAGAGAGGTTTCCTAACATACTTTAAATACAAGCAAGCCAGCTCTGCCAGGCAGGCACTAAAGGCCAGAAGCGGCCTCCCCATTATTCCTAGAGAGACACCAGGGCCTGGTTTGCTACTCGGAGCCGGGAGCAAGTTCCCGTCTTCCCGTTGGTTGCGTGAGCTCGCTCGGGTAGTGAAGGAGTTAACGGAGCGCTCGAGCCCCAGCCAGCAAATGCATTGAAAGCTCTGTCCAGCACTCGCATGGTTTGTATTCCTGCACTGCTGGCGTGGCGTGTTCATGGCATCTGGTTCCCTGGCAACAGCTTTCATTGGCTCAATCAAAGCCTTTTCTTCTTGAGAAAGCTCCCACTGTGACACCCTGCCACCACCACTAATCACCATCTTCACCGGGTGTTTAAGATGCAGCTGGTATGAAAAATAGTGGAGAGGATGAAGAGGCTACCTTGCACGGGACACCTGCCCAGGGAGCGCTCCCGCTCCGCTGGGCACCCTCGAGGAATCTGCGCTCCCTGGACGGGAGCGGCGTCTGCACCAGAGGGCCCACTTAGGAATCCGCTTTTGTTAGGCAGAAATCCATAAACCTTTGTGGCCTGGGAAGAGTCATTTCCTCTTTCAGCCGCGCTGGCGTTTAGGCCTCCGTGCTAGTGACAAGGGGCAGGAGTGGGATGTGGGGGGCAGACAATAAAATCCATATTGGCAGAGTCATCTCCCCCGAGGAGGAGGAAGCAGGAGGGAGTCTCCGAAGGCGTGTGCTGGAGAACTGTGGCAGCAGAGCGCTCGTGTTAAACCTCCTTGTGGGTTACGCGTACTGGGATCTCTGAGTTTGCACAAAAGCTGAGAAAGCCTCGAGCAGTCACGCCTGCCTCCCTCTTGCAGTTTGGGGTCCTGAGTGATCAGCAGGCATGAGTGTTAATGCTCCTTGCACCACATTTCCACTGCTAGAAATGTGGTTCTGGTGAATTACTTGAGTTCTCATTGACCCACCAGCCGACAGCAACATTTCCCTTATTTTCCCAGCCTTGGCAATTGCTTTGGAGGATGCTCTGTAGCCACCAGAGACAAGTTGCTCTGCACACAAATGGCACAACTACAGCTGGTAGCAGTGCACCTAATATCCTCGGGTCAGTCGTGCCTGAGGATCCTAGCCTGGGTTTGTGCTTGTTCTAGTCGGGTGTTCAGTTAAACTCCCCTCTGCTGTTAGCACCCTTCCCTGGGCTCAAAGATGGGCCCTCCTGTACCCAAAGCCAGTCTCCAGATGTGGCTAATGGCAGATGCCAGGAAAGAGCCGTGAGAAGAGGGCAAACCTGGGCTGAGTCTTCCCTAAAATCCACTCCCTACCTCTAGCAATTAGAATCTCCTGGGATTGCTGAGCCAGCACTGGGGCTTTATATGAATAACCTTCCAAGATTGTTGCTGTGATAGTTTCTAGGTGCTCTCTGCCTGTTGGCACTAGCCCTTTACGCCAGGACGGCAAAACTCAGTTGTGTCAACGCAGAGGATCCCAGAGCTTGTTACAAGATGTAAATCCTTAATATATGAGAGATGCTTAGCAAAAGCTGCATGGCAAAAGTTGTGTGTTCTTGAACATGGTGTTTAAAGAAATTCAAAAGCATTAACTGGAAGTAACAGGAGCCCAGAATGACACTCTGGACATGATGTGTCCGCTCTGTTCTATCACTTGTAACTGTGAATCATGTTTATTCACACTTACTAAATACCCATTCACTGAAAAAGGAGCCTAGGGCAAGTACTAGAACTGTAAAACCATAACCTGTTCTGAACATTAACATGTTTGATTGATTGGATGCGCTTTGGAGGCTGAGTGTGCTGGGTATGGGAGCGTTTCCCTATCCTGGCTGGTGGGGAAGGGCCCGTGCATGCGAGTGCGGAACGGCGGCCTTGCTGCTGAGCTGCCAGCCCTGCCCTTCGGGCTGATTTATGGGCCTGGGGTAGCTGTGGAAATGTGGCTTCAGCCACACTAAGTGGTAGATGTGCCTGTCCGGCTTCCAGTGAAAAGCACATTTGATTTGGTTAGAGCATGGGTTTGGAAAACATGCTGTATTTGTACCTGGTTTATGATATATTTTGGAACAAAGCGGTTTGGGGAATTACCTGAGGGTAAAAAAGGCCCGGGAACTTCCACTGGTCAGGGGTTTTCTCAGGTTTCGCTGGCTGTACATACAGGCAGATAACTTCAATTCTGTAAATCTGGCAAAGCAACATGGGCATGGGCCACGTTCCCCATCTCACTCCTCTCCTTCATGTAACTGAGGAGGAACCTGAACAAAGTGGAGACCTTTTCTCACCAAGAGCAAGATATAGATTAAGTAGAGCAGCATGTTCTTGGCCTGCAGACTGAAGGTGTTCAAGCATACAGAGCAATCTCCTGCCATAGATAGTGAAGGAAAGGTGAAGATTACTTTTTTTTTTCCTTAGTTCACTGGGCAAAGTGACTTTTAATGTAACTTTGTGGGATTTTTTTTTGTTAATTTACTACTTTTTAGATTATCAAAGTGCTTTCAGGAAGCCAGTGTAACCTTTACTCTGCCCCTTCAAGTGTTAGTCTGTACACATGTGACTCTAATTATGTGATCGCCATGTCTGGTGGATAAATAAGATTTCTTTTTCCCCAAATAAAGCTCAGGGGAAGCATGAGGTGCATGCACCACTTAGGTTTTCTGCAAGCCTTTGGAAAGGAATGTAAATGGCATGTAAATGCTGCCCCTCTGCACAAGCCTGAATTTCACCCTATGTGCACCAAGAGCAGGGTCACATAATACGCTGGTCTGGAGTCGCAGGAGCAGATTTATGTCCTGGCAGTGAATGGGGCTGTGTCCCTAGCTCTGCGTCTAACCTCTAGCAGAAGTTGTGTGGTGTGAATAAAGGCCAGAGGCTGTTGTAAAAGTGATGATTTAGGTGGCTGACGGGGGCTCCAGAGATGTGGTCTCTTTTCCTGCCTCTTTTCAACCTTCTTTTAGCAAGGACCTTAGTTGTACCCCCTAAGTGAGGGATAATGTTTCCTCCCCTCCCAGGGACGCTGGGGTACAGCTCTACTGACCAGTGTGAAGCTTTCCTGGGTGCTGCTGGTGAGCAGCAGAGAAGAGCTGTCAGCACGTGGGCAGCTATCCGTGTTCATGCAGGGCTGCAGTAGCTTTTGCTGGAGCCCCGCACGCGAGAGCTGAGATTAAAAAGAATATTGAAGAGCTGCTTTGTATGCAGAGCACTGATGGTTGGTGGCTGGCGTGAGGCAGGAGCTCCTGCCAAAACTGAATCTGGGGGCAGAACCTGGTCAGGAGCCGCGACAATAAAGGATACCGGCAGGATACGGTGTGGGCAGAGGAAGGTTACCTTAGGGAGCCATTGCTGGCTCGTGCTGTTTGAGAGGGTCGCTCTTCAGCCTTGCTTTGGTTTGTTGCAAACAGCAGAGTTTTCAGCAGGGTACCTGTGTGATAGGGATCTCCCCTGCACCTGGCACTGTGCAGGAACATGAGCAGATAAGCACCCGGCCTCCCAAACTGGGGCCCTTTGCCTCTCTCATGGACCTCGCTAGATTGCAATCAGGCCAGAAGCAATGTCAGGAATTCTCTTGATTGACCCCTAGTTTTATTTAGACATAAATCTGCAATATTCTCCCATAAAGTTTCCAACTGCAGGAGTGCATCATCTTTGTTCTGGGTTATTGGGGTCAGGGGAATTTCTACCCTGTACCCTGATACTGAAGCAAAATCAAATTCTTCCCTTGTCCATGGACAAAGATTGCTGAACTAGGTTTAAGGTATAGAAAAAGCTGCCTGGGGGGAAGATACGGTAGCATCTAAATTTAGCTAAATTTAGATGTCCTTAGCGCTGGCGGAGGCTCCATCGTACATGGGAGGCTGTGGGAGGAAATGGTCTCGCTGGCCTCTGGAGCTCGTGCTGGAACTCTTCCACCCAGCCTTTTAGAAAGCAGCAGGAGTCAACTCTTTCACCCTAGGAGTCAATTAAAGAAACCCAAATTATTGCCATTTGAATAAACAATTATTTCTTTTTCACCCTCGCAGAAGCTTGTTACGATGAACTAAAAGGCAGAACTAATTAAATGATCTGATAGCACAAATCGTATTAGAAGTGTTTCATCTGGCGTAATTAATTCTTGCCAGAAATCGTTGCTACTCTCAGC